GAAGCGGACACGGAGCAATGGATCCAAACTACAAGAAAGAAGATGCCACCTAAACATTAGGAAGAACTTCCTGACAGTAAGAGCTGTTCGACAGTGGAATTTGCTGCCAAGGAGTGTGGTGGAGTCTCCTTCTTTGGAGGTCTTTAAGCAGAGGCTTGACAACCATATGTCAGGAGTGCTCTGATGGTGTTTCCTGCTTGGCAGGGGGTTGGACTCGATGGCCCTTGTGGTCTCTTCCAACTCTATGATTCTATGATTCTATGATTCTAGGACAGTGTGCCCTGAAGGAAAGGTTAGAAGTGTTTTAAATAAATAAATACCATGGGACCTAGCATAAATTAGCAAAGCACGGTCAATCCCATTAAAACATGCCATCTACTAAGTATTGCCACATATCAAGTGTCCAATATCTCATAAAGAAATAAAATATCAAACACTGAAAGCCAATGTAATCGTACGTCAGATATGTACATATATCAGCTCTTCAGTGAATATTCAGAGAATATTGAGTGTATTTAGTGAATATTTGAAATAGACATTCGTTAGAGGAGAATTATGGGAAGCAAATGTGCTTCCTCTCTAAATAGCAGTTATTTCTTCTGGACGAAACACTAAACTTTACCAAATTAGTTCTGAAAATAGTTCCAACATGCAGTGTAAAGTGTGCCTACAATTGGTCCTGTGATCAGAAGGGCACTCTAATACAAGCCAACACAACTTGTGAATCTCCAAGTTACATGCGACCCATCAGCCATGTACTGTAGTTTATATACTGTTGGCTTACTATCAAAAGATAATAGAAGTTGATACCTCTGTATTTACTCGTTTAACTTGCCAGTAGCTGGTCACCTAAACTTATTCTCCTAGCCCAGCTCTGATCTCAGAAGTGAGCTGGATTTGTAAAGTGTAGGCTGGGTCCCACAAGGCAAGACACAGTGATGACAGCAAGAACCTTTATTGGACTACATAGCTGGGAAACAGAGGCAAAGCAACTGCTTATATACATTTCTGAAAGCCTGAGCCACTCCCACTCCCAACGTGACTGGCTGTCTAAACTTCCAAGCTGCGAATCACGACTCAGAGTTCAAGGGCTAATGGCAGAGGCCCAAATCCTGAAATGATTGGACATCATGTATCGAATCAGAACACAGGAGCTCAGAGTCCTTAGTCCGGACTCAAGCTCACGCAAACACAGACCACTGTATACATAACAATTTGGAAGCGAAGTTTATGGGACAGAGAACCACTGGGGAGTAAGGCAGCAAAGAGGAATTGGCTCTCCTCATCTGCACTCCTCTTTTTAGGTTAAAATTAGTTACCTTCCTACCCCTCTGGTTTATGCATGAATGAAACAGGCATGTGATGCAATGGTTATTCCCATCAAGTCACTCAAGACACAGGAGATGCGTCATCAGGGTCAGGGCTATCTTTAGCAGATGCGGCACCAGGGTGCAAATATCCGCCCAGCGCCCCCAAGTTACCACGGATAGTGTTGGGGTGGTCGTAGCTGCGCACTGTCAGCCATCGGGGGGCGCAACTCTCCCCCATGCCGCTGTGGGAGAGCAGAGGCTTGGGAGTGAAGTTGCGCCCCTCCCAAGCCTCCTCAGGAGGAGAGCGATCCCCACAGAGGCTTAGGATGGAGGCTTGGAAGGGACACAACTTCACTCCCAAGCCTATGCGAGGATCGCTCTCCTCCCAAGGAGGCTTGGGAGGGAAGCTGCATGCCCACCAGCCTTATGGTTGGCGGGCGCAGCTGGCAGGCGTGCAGGGAAAGGGGAGGCCGCTGGCAAAGCCATGCAGCTCCCCCACTTGCTGGGGCTCCCCTGAGAGGCCGGTGCCCTGGCGCAGTGCACCACTAAACCCTATGGGAAAGACGGCTCTGATCAAGGTCTGCAAGCATCATTGCTTGTGTCCTAAGTTTGGGGCACTGATGCTCCTTCTACTTTGACTGTATCCTTCCTTTCCTTCTTCAGTGGGATTGCAGTGGGGATGCCTTCTGGTGCACAGACAAATGAAAGAAGTCATTCCTAAGAACAGTGAACGGCAGCATTCACTGAAAGTGCTAAATGGGGACAATACTTAAAACATTGCTGAATTTCCAAAGAGCAGCTGTTAGATATTTAAGCCCATCATTCTCTACTGAACATGCATCACATTCATTTTGTGGTGCCGTCATAAAAATGTATGAGAATGTAAATGCTTGAGTGACCCATTAATCTTTCGAGTAGCAAACGTAAAATGTTTTTAACCCTAGCGATGATATAGCCATACTTTATTTTGAATGAAAGCTTTATCATGGATCTGAAGATGTTCTGTGTCTTTCTGGGGTGTATAAATAAGAACAAATTAATATTAAAGTCTGATTGGTATGAAAAGTGTACCGTTCTATAGATTGCAGCACGAAGATGTATTTAGCAAGCCAAAACTACACTCAGCTTCTGATGAGCACGGAAAATCTAATAACAACACACACAGTATGTATGCTCATCATTTATTGAACTCAGCAAAGAGAATGTAGCTATTATCACTATTATCATTTGCTAACTGACTCAGTAACAAATCTGGGCCTTCCAAACCTCTCAATAAAACATTCCCCTTCTTTTTTTATGGGCCAATTTACTAACTGTGCTCCGAGCTGTGTTCTGGTGAGGAAAGGCTCCCCCACTGGTTCTGCTATCACCTACAAGTAGTTTAATGCATATTTGTCCCAGTCAACATTTTAGAAATGGTTTTGATCATATTTTATTAGGTTCAGTTGCATAATGAATCCTCAAAATGAGGGGAGGGCAACCATAAGTGATGCAGGATGTTGCTAGGAAACTTGTGGCTTTTTGTTTAATATGCATCTTCCTCACACACACACCTCTGTATGGTTGCACCTGAAGGCAGCCATGAAGTGCAGACAGAGACAGAGCTTTGTGGCAGAATATTTGCATGCACAAGGTCCCAGAAAACATTAACTTTCTGCTGGAGCAGAGATAAACACATTGCACGCATTTGCACAAGTTTCACCTTAGACGGAAGAAGAGTGTCAGGCCTTATCCACATTTTTGTCTGAGCGTTTTGGGGGGTTTTGCCCCAGAGCTTTCCCCACGAAAACCTGCTCTTTAGTGCTCAATCGGAGCAGATGACAATTCAGATTTTCTGCAGATTGCTGTTTGCTCCGATTGAGCTTTAAAGAACAGGTTTTCACAGGGAAAGCTCCGGAACAAACAAACCAAAAACGGCACATGGACATGTAGCTTTAAAGTGCAAAGCGTGCTTGGAAAGAGTGGAGGAAAGCATGAATAAGACCTCACTCTCCTTACCACTTGGCAGAATTATACAGATGACCAAGCTGCCCCAGGGTGAGAGTGCTGTGTTGCCTCTGTCTCCAGCCTAGCAAGATGGGAGGAGGAAATGAAGAGTAGTTACTGCAGCTCTCAGTCTGGGGAGGAGGGGCAAGAGACCTACTCGCACATTTTTGAATCCTTTGGAATGCTGCCATATTATAATACTGAATGAACAGACATAAAAGAAATATGCTGAATCACTCGCTCTCCCATCGTAAAGTAGTCTATAAAAGGTCCGTGTGCCTGGACACACCATTTTTACAAGCAAGCAATTAGCAGAAAGGTGAACTTTAAAGCACGTCTTTCCCATTCCACCTTTGTCCGTTGCTATATTTTCAAGATGATATAAAGAACCCAGCTCAGAATAAATCTTCAGCATTTTAAGGATTTGGTAGCATATACGTAAGGTTAGTTATGAGACTGAACTGAAGACATTCTGTACAGTCACTTTTATATGGTGCTTTTCCACAAGAGCTGTTTTGAGCCCAAAGGGCCACATTGCCACACAAGCAGCCTTCCGGGGACCGTATGCCAAGTGTGAGTGGAACAAGGAATGCAACATTTATCTTCGTATTCTAGGATACAGTCGAGGCACAAGCATTTCCACACATACATCTCTTCAGCCAGGATCATATAACACCGGTCCTGAAAGAACAACATGGGCTCTCAGTATGTTTCCGAGCACAAGTCAAAGTGTTAGTGGTGACCTTTAAAGCCCTAAAGGGTCTCAGCCCTGTATACCTGAAGGAGCGTCTCCACCCCCATCATCCAGCCCAAACACTGAGGTCCAGCTCCAAGGGCCTTCTGGTGGTTCCCTCATTGTGAGAAGTTAGGTTACAGGGAAGCAGGCAAAGGGCCTTCTCGGTAGTGGCACCAACCCTGTGGAACGCCCTCCCATCAAATGTCAAGGAGATAGGAAACTATACAACCTTTAGAAGACATCTGAAGGGAGCCCGGTATAGGGACATTATAAATGTTTAATGTTTTATTAAGTTTTTGTACGTGCTGGGCAACCTAGTCAGATGGGCATGGTACAAATAATGAAATTTATTATTATTATTATTATTATTATTCAGCCAGGCAAACAACAGGCAATAGCAGGGTTCAATTAAAGTTTCCAGCCAGGCAAAATGACTGGACCAGGGGAGGTGTGGCCTCAGAGAACCCCAATAGTCATACAAGGGGCTACAGTTGACCTCCAGGTTCCCCATCCCTTCTTTCAGCCCAAAGCCTCCTGAAGCATAATCTGACTGTCATAACAGTCCACCCCCTGACAGGTGTTTCAATATTAGGATCTGTCTTTCAGGATTTCAGGATTCAAGCCTCCATTTTCAGGGACTCTGGGGGAAGGAGCTCTGCTCTCATGTTCATCGAGCTACACCCTGTCCCAGAAGAAGAGTTGAGGCTCTGCTCCCCTCAGGCTCTGCTTGGCTTCTCTTTGGAAACTGGAAGATTCAGTCCCATGACCTATGAGGCACCACCCCTCATCTCAAGATTAGATGTTCATACTAGCATTCCCAAGGGCTGAAAGCTTCGAGCAAAGCAACCAGAAGTGGCATTCGATGTGCCTTATAAATGGTGGTGCCTTGAGTGCCTGCCTAGGTTTCTTGGCTATTAGTTGTGTCCCAAGGGAGCTGTAACGGCTGCAGAATCATGGCGTTCTGCCTGATGAACAGTTTGGTCTATCTCTATGACTTGCATGCATCAGACATCTACACAAAAGTAAGTTGAACCAGTAAACAATATCACGGAACCTAATTTTCTTTTTTCCCTATGCCAGTGTATCAACTTTTTTTATCTGCCGTGTGTCATTTGTGAAGCATTTTCAAGAATGCTTTTGAGCTGTGCCAGAGCACAATAAGAGCATGACAGCATTATCATTCTAGATAAATGGATGCCTTCAGAGGTGTGCCTACTTATCTGGCCTGTATTAATAGGGCGGGGGTTGATGCAACATATTATCTCTCTTACTTTAAATTACTTCATTACAGCTGGTAAGGCACAGCTTAATCGAGCCCTCTATTTTGTGGCACAGAGCATTTTAGACCATAATCAAAGATCCAAATTGCAGAAAAGCAAGGGAGAGGGGTAGCAGGAATTAACAATGTCAGATGTAATTGTGCTTTCATACATACCCTCACAAACCAACACACAAAATTAGAGCATTTCTAGCTTTTCAAATATATTAAAAGCATTTCTTGCCTGCTGTAGAAACAAAACAAAGGTTTTTATTGACCATGATGGTCCATGGGTGGACAATTCCATGAGTACTAAGACAAAACTACAAGAGGGTTAGCATGGAATAATAATAATAATAATAATAATAATAATAATAATTTATTACTTTACCCCACCCATCTGGCCGGGCCTCCCCAGCCACTCTGGGCAGCTCTCAATAGAATATTAAAAACACAAAAACATCAAATATTAAAAACTTCCCTAAACAGGGTTGCCTTCAGATGTCTTCTAAAAGTCAGATAGTTTCTTATCTCCTTGACATCTGATGGGAGGATGTTCCACAGGGCGGGCACCACTACCGAGAAGGCCCTCTGCCTGGTTCCATATAATTTCACTTTTCACAATGAGGGAACCACCAGAAGGCCCTCGGAGCTAGACCTCCGGTATACAGGGCTGAAGCCATTTAGGGCTTCAAAGGTTAAACAATTAACATTTGCACATATTTGAATATTTGCAGGAAGACTGCCTCAATTTTACAGACAGGAAACTAAGGGATTTGGAGGTGGGAGAAAAATCAAATGAATTCTGTTAGACACTTACAGCAATATACCACTTGAAACAGTCACAGCTTCCCTCAAATAAACCTGGGAAGGGTAGTTTGTTAAAGGTTCTGAGTTGCTAGGAGACCTTTATTTCCCTCACAGAGCTAGAATTCTCACAGTGGTTTAACGGCCAACCCTCTTTTTCCCATGGAACTCTGTGAACTGCAACTCTGCGAGGGGAAAAGGCACCTCCTAGCACCCTTAGTAAACAACATTTCCCAGGATTCTTTGAGGAAAGTCACAATTGTTTAAAAAGTGGTACAGTGCTGCTTTAAATGTGTAGGACAGATGGCGCGATAGTTGACTGGGAGTTCTTGCACAACAAGGCTACTTCCAAAAAGGTAGGCTTTTTTATGGGATAATACTTGCTCTGATGCAACGTCATCTAACCTCCCCACAAACAAATCAGGATGAATCCGTAATACACATGTGTCTAAAAGCACCTTAACTGCAACACTCTTCAACGGGCTTGAACACCTCAACTGCAAACTCATGTCTGAGTCCAGAAAGCCATCCAGCTTGGGGGGGCAGGCTTGGAGGGGGGCTTATTGTGTTGTTTTTTAATTTTGATTATATGTTTTGTGGTTTTATATTTTGATTTTGTTCTGTGAACCGCCCTGAGACCTCCAGGTATAGGAAGGTTTATAAATTCAGTTAATCATCATCATCAGGCAGAAAGGCAGGGAAGTCAACTCTGAAGTAGACCAGCAGCAACAAAATAAGAACCAAAAAATAAACCAAGCATTGCCAAATTCATTCACACACTCTCGCCACCCCCATGACTCAAAGCCTTTCACAATTCTCAGTTCATTGAAAGAAACAGACACATAAGGCCCATGGCAGCAACCCCGTCCTGAAGGCTCCTTGAGCAGTATAGCAGAGATGAAATCAACCACCTACTGTATTGGCCCGAATATAAGCCACACCCAAATATAAGCCACAACTTTAAAATTTGGGAGGGGGGAGGAGGGGGAAAAGACCATCCCCAAATATAAGCCGCTCCCTTAAAATTCCACAGGCACTCACCCCTTCTGTTTTATCATATGTCTGTTTCAGCAGCGATATCATAAAAGCCAATTTTTGTAAGGTCGCGAATATAAGCCGCACTTTAACTTTTCATGGTTGGAATTTTTGGGGAAAGTGAGGCTTGTATTCAGGCCAATACGGTATGATGACAAAGTGGGTGGGTCCTCATCAGAGGGTCACAAAAGGGGTTACAGCCAGGGCATCAACAGTAGCGGCACTGGGTGACAGCAGCCGCCCATCGCACAGGCAAAGAGTCAAGGCTGACATGAGAACCTCTAGTCAGGCCAAGGCAGTAGACATTGGCTACTAGGATGAGGGTTGAGCCATGCTTAGGGTACATGAAAACCATGGTCCACCACAACCAACTCAATCCACAGTCCTTTGGATGCCAGCTCAAAACGGATTCAATCTTGTATCTTCAGGTTTTTTCCCCTTCTCCTCTTCCTCTTCCCCCATCCCCATGGGTGAATACTGATAAAATCTCATTGGAATCAGAGGTGCAGAAGGAGACGAAAGATTCCTTTCTCGCTGAACCTAAGGAAAGACCCTCAAAGTAAATGTGATCGTGGCTTTGGCACCTGGGAAGGCAAGCACGTTCAACTGATCACTTAGCAAAGGTTAATGCTGGCCGTCACTGGAACAAGCTGATGAAGCCATGATTAATATACTCCGTGTTTGCAAGTGCAAGCGCCCTGCAGAAAATACAAATAAAGCAAAGGGATTTTTCAGGGTGATTACATTTAAATTTCACAGTTGATGAAGCAAACCCAAAAATCTCTTTTTGCACACATGCTAGTTAAAGGCTCCTGACATTTAACAAGTTGTCTAGTGAAGTATAGCGGCTAAGAAACTGAGCTGGGAAGTTCGTGATTCAAGTGTCTCCACTCACATGAGCTCAGTAGGTGGCTTTCAGCAACTCATCGCCTCTCATTTTAGTCTGCCCTCTCCACCTGTATTATCGAATTCGTATTAGTGGCCTACCTTGCAGATAATTCTACAGGAAGTGCAAAGGACACTCAAATGTGCTGTACAGTGGTACCTCGGGTTAAGTACTTAATTTGTTCCGGAGGTCCATTCTTAACCTGAAACTGTTCTTAACCTGAATCACCACTTTAGCTAATGGGGCCTCCTGCTGCCACTGTGTCGCCGGAGCACAATTTCTGTTCTCATCCTGAAGCAAAGTTCTTAACCCGAGGTACTACATCTGGGTTAGCAGAGTCTGTAACCTGAAGCATATGTAACCCAATGTACCACTGTACATAATCCCCCCCAACACATCATAGGGATGCTGGCTCCATTGGTTAAAGCACGGTGCTGATAACCCCAAGGTTGCAGGTTCAGTCCCTGCATGGGACCGCTGCATATTCCTGCATTGCAGGGGGTTGGACTAGATGATCCTCAGGGTCCCTTCCAACTCTATGATCCAATGTCAAAAAATTAACAAGTTTCTAAACTTGAGGCCCTCTTTGAACTTGAGGATCTGGACTACCGGTAAATGCTTTCCTGGCCACTCCCTGATAGGCCCTGAGTGTCCCTTGAAAAAGAGGGAGAAAGATGGAAATGTGGGAGGTGGGTACTGTCTGTACTTGAGCAGCTAGGATGCTGCTCTTGGAAGTGATAGTTTGGGATGGGGGAACATGTACAGGGAGGTTTAAAGTTCTCCCTTCCCTCACTAAACTCCACCCGTCAGCTGTATGCCAATGCAACTCCCATGCTGAGAACCGGCTGCCAGCTCCAGCCCTGAGCCTTTTGCAATATAGAGCACAATAAAGCAAAGGAGGTGGAATATGCCAAACACCACCCCAAGGCTCCTATCCCAGACTGGCTGGAGCCCTAAACAGGAGCTATGCTGTTAGACTGGAGGCCAGGGAATTCACTGCAACATCTTGTCAAGATGGATTCCTCACTCCCATATAAACTTTCCTTCTTCCCTCAAAGCGCAAGGTGACGCAAATATTCCTTTTGGATATTAAGCACTTTTTAATTTACAGCAAAACTGAAACCTTCTTCCCCCAAATAGCTGCCTTGACTTTCACGGCGAAGTAGATGCCATCGTGAATTAATTTATATGAAGGGCGGGTTTATAACTGCTAACTTAGCATCATGTCTTACAACAATTATTTTTTAAAAATCTTTTAAAAGCGGGCAGTAAATTTAAGTGCTTTTTAACAGCTGGCTTCAAAGGCCATCACCCCATATCAGATATTCAGTAAATCCTCTACTGAGACAGTGAGTGGTTACATCATGCCAAAGACTGTTTTAATTGTTCGATTTTGAAATAAAACGCCAGGTGTTAATTGATTTTTTTTCATGATAGCTTTTAGCACTGTAGTTAATAAAAGTTTTGGGCCTTCTAGCCAAATACTTAAAGCATTAATACTGAGAAACTACAGTGAATTTGGGGGTTAGGCCCTAATCTCTAAAATGTCGTCTGTATGGCTGCCTGTCTATTAGTTGTATACCTGAAGCTTCCTACAATCATCTGATGATAACTAGCACGCTTGTTTTTAATTGCATGCACTCTTTACCATTGGACTGAGAACAAGCTGCTTCCATAGGATCTAGTAGCTGGCGCACTCAACTAAATAATTTTAGAAACCTTAATTAAAATATTGGTGTATAAACTGCTCTCAGAGAAAACCTGCTCACATTTTAAATGAAGCAAATAATTTTAGGGTATGCTCCTATCCTATGCTGAGGATGCACCAGCAATAAGTGTCAGCAGTGCTTTTTTTCCCCTAAAAAAAAATTGTGTAGGGGTACTCTCATTTTGACTCAAGAAAAATCACCATTTTATAGTTCAAATCAGGAAAAATAAATACAGTAAATGGACAAAAGTACAAAGATTCACAAAATGTTTAGGGGTATACGTACCCCCAGAAAAAAGCACTGGGTGTTAGCTCCTGGAGGCTGAGACACTTCCCCCGCCCCCCTTTTTTTAGGGGGCGATGCCCTCTCAGTGTTCAGAAGGGTTTTGGCTCCACCCCCTGGCTCCTCACAACGTCATATGTGTGGTGTCAGGATGTTGCGCAACATCATGTGCATTATGTGAGGACATCGTGTTGGGCCCAGGGGTGAAGGAAGGCTAGCCAGCACCTGGTGTGGGGTGTCAGGGGCGGGGCAAACTGCCCAGTGGCACATGCAGGGTGGTTTGCCTACGGTGCCGCTTGAGCCCTGTATGGACAGCAGCAGGATCCTCCGCACGCGGCGGTGGCGCGATGGCGGCTGCTTGCGCCACCACCGCACCTGGCGGCAGCAGGGCAAGCCCCCTGCAGGGTGCCTTCTTGTCTCCCCCCTCAGAGATAATAATAATAATAATAATAATAATAATAATAATAATAACAACAATAATTATACCCTGCCCATCTGGCTGAGTTTCCCCAGCCACTCTGGGTGGCTCCCAATCAAGTGTTAAAAACAGTACAGCATTAAATATTAAAAACTTCCCTGAACAGGGCTGCCTTCAGATGTCTTTTCAAGATAGGATAGCTATACGTCCCTATACCGGGGTCCCTTCAGGTGTCTTCTAAAGGTTGTATAGTTTCCTATCTCCTTCACATCTGAAGGGAGGGTGTTCCACAGGGTGGGTGCCACTACTGAGAAGACCCTCTATCTGGTTCCCTGGAACCTCACTTCTCGCAATGAGGGAACAGCCAAAAGGCCCTTGGTGCTGGATCTCAGTCTCCAGGCTGAACGATGGGGGTGGAGACGCTCATTCAGGTATATAGGACCGAGGCCGTTTAGGGCTTTAAATGGCACCTGGAGCGAACTGCCCCCCCGCCCCCTTCCTCCGCCACTGGTTGGGCCCTCTCAATCATCTTGAGAAGCTGGAGCCGGATGTTGTTGGCCAGTCAATAAGGATGGTCTAGGAAACTTGGAGGTTCCTCTCTCTCTCTTCCCTTTCCCAGGCAGACATCTCAGTCTCCTGTCCAAGCTGAATTGCATCACAACACTTCCAACACCTTCGCCTGTGAACCCTTTCTGTTCTCGTGGGTTTGCTAAAAGGAGCGATGAAATGTTCTCCTGCTGAGCATCTGTGTGATCTTGTTGTGTTACTGCCACTTACTGGGATTCAAGCGAGGCAGAGCTCCGTAAGCCAGAGCGGCTCAGAAACTTTGCCCATCCATTCCCCCTTTATTAACTCTGACTGCCCTCGCTGCTTTAGAACTCACTTATCACTCCCAAGGATCAACTTGGATGCTGTACTATAACACAATTTATTCTCTTGGTGACTGCATTTCTCTCTGAAAAGCACAGGAATGAATGAACATGGAACTCTATTAGGCCACATCAAAAGCACTGAACATCATCAGGAAACAAGGTAAGGATAAAATGAAACCATTTCTTAGGGACCGATAAAATGACTTACTCGAGTCCCAAAGACTAATCCAGACAACTTGCAATGAAATGCACTAGAACTCCCAACAGCTGCAGCTGACAAGTTAGCAATAGTAGGGTATTTTGGTGGCATTTGTTTTATGCATTTTGTATTCCCCTATCCCAGGGGAAGGAGGAAATATATTAATTGTCAGTGAAGTGAAGTTTACCTTACCTGATAGGCACTCTGTTTGCAGTTATGTATGTTGGCTTGCAGTGTACCTACTGCACCTTAAAACTGAGATACCAGAATGAAATTTTATACTGTATACGAGCTCAAGACAATATTCTGTCCTAGAATAAAATACTAGATCAACACACTCCACATTTCAAGGGGCAGAGGAAAAGTCACTAAACACATTGCATCAGGTGGGAGCTGCAACTAAATGTTGCGTATGGAAGCGCTTGTTTTTCATGTTCCAGCTAACCAGGAAAGCCCTTTTCCAGCATACTTCATTCCATTTCCCCTCCTTTGCCATTTTCCATCCCTCACAACAGCATGTTCAGTCCTTACTGGACTGTATTGGGGAGATTCTTCACTCCACCCCCGTTGTTTCCCCTAAAACCTTTTTCTGTATTTGCAAACCTAGGGGTTCCAGTCCCTCTGAATGTGCTAATGCCTTTTGGCTATGTATCATAACTCAAGAGCATGAGTTAGCTATTCATATATAAGTTTGATGATATGGCAATGCCTACTCTAAAGAGGGAAACACTGGAGTGAAGTTTAGTGTGTGCATTCAGGTCACAATTCTATGTATAAAAGCAAAGTGTTAGTCCAAAAGCAGGGAGGAAACCCTCCAAAATCCTCAATTAGTACTGACCAAAATGGCGCAGATGTCTTATCAGGCAAGACGTTCAATATAACGAGTCAACCTGAGGCAATACTAATACTAATCGTAATCACATTTGTACCCCACCCATCTGACTGGGTTACCTCAGACACTCTGGGCGGCTTCCAACACACATAAAAACATAATGAAACATTACACATTAAAAGGCTTCCCTATACAGGGCTGCCTTTAAATGTCTTCTAAAGGTTGTATAGTGACTCATCTCCTTGAAATCTGCTGGACGGCTTCCCACACGGTGGGCGCCACTACCGAGAAGACGCTCTGCCTGGTTCCCTGTAACTTCACTTATTGTAGTGAGGGAACATCCAGATGGTCTTCGGTGCTGGATCTCAGTGTCTGGGATGAACGATGGGGGTAGAGATGCTCCTTCAGGTATACAGGGCTGAAGCACTTTGAATTTTGCTTGGAAATGTACTGGGAGCAATTGTCTCGGGCACAGGGAAGTTGTGAACTGGCAGCAGGGCAGGAAATTTGCTTGCCTCCTTATTACCCACATGCCTGACCGCCAGCCTGCCTTCCTACTCCAGCTATAGCCAGTGGCCACCCACCTGACCAGGCTCTCTGCTGCCTCTTCCACCCTCTCACTGCCTTGCTCCAAGGGAGGACAGCAGCATGTGCTAAAACCCCTGTTTGACCCCTGCGCACCCATCTTCAGAGGTGGGTGGGGAAATGTAAAATGTGTTGCATTTTAAAAGGCCTCTCCTAGTACAGTGGTACCTCGGGTTAAGTACTTAATTTTTTCCGGAAGTCTGTACTTAACCTGAAACTGTTCTTAACCTGAAGCACCACTTTAGCTAATGGCCGCCGTGCCGCCAGAGCACGATTTCTGTTCTCATCCTGAAGCAAAGTTCCCAACCTGAAGCACTGTTTCTGGGTTAGCAGAGTCTGTAACCTGAAGCGTATGTAACCCGAGGTACCACTGTATCGTGACAAGTTCTGATGGCAGAAATCCTCTCCTTGGCCTGTATTAAAACTATGCTTACCACTAATGCTTCCCATACATTACAGAGCAAATGAGAGGGAGAAATGTAATTAGAAATTAAAATGTAAGATTCCAGTATTCACACAGGCATATATATCCAGGATGTTTACATTATAGAGCTAGAGGGAAACAGATGCACTTAAAAGCATAAATGGTTTTCCAAAATGCAAATTAGTAGGCAGCTTGCACAGAGCAGAGCTACTTGAAGCCAATGGGATTCACGCACCCTAACGAGGCACAGGATTGCACCCTCTGTTTTCCTGCCACCCTTAAAAGGGGACAGGGACAGTCTGTATTTAAGCCCCTTCCGAATTTCTGAGCTAGTGCTCTCATTCGGACCTTTTTTCTTTGAGAGAATACGTCATCATTTATTCTATTAGAAAATAAATGTAAGGATATATTGTGGAATTTGCATTCCATTACCTTGGTTTGCATGCCATAAAACATTTATTACACCCTTGGGCTACAGGCTTAATAATGACTGGGTGAAATGCACTAATGTGGTATTGGCCTTGCTATAGAACAAAAGATTAATGTTCTTTGATGTCACCCAGCTAATAGTTGGGCTCACCAATTTGTCCCTTCAAAAGACATTACAGTCATTGAGACAACCCCACTAAGAAGAAAGGAAGCAAAAGAAGACTGAAGTCGAGCCATAAACTGAAGCTCCCTGAAACTATGTAAAAGTTTACATGGGATTTTTCTATCCATGAAATAAATAAAGGCCTAGTTTAGATTATACTCCCCACCCCCAAGCATGGCAGCGAAGTGAGATGTAAGCTCTCGCCCCATCCACTCAATGCACCTCTCCGGCTTCAAAGACCACACGTGTGGGGATCCAGACACCCCTTTGAAATTAAGAGGTATATTCTTATGAGCAGGAGAATTTGATGGCTATATTGGAATTTTCAGATCTATAGACAGGCTTGAGATGACAGTGATAGTCCCAGATCCTCTCAGCTTCTTGTCATATAATTAAATTTAGTTGCTTCTTGTAAAGATAAAGCTGTGTAATATTTTTTTCCATGCTGTTTCTCCTCAGAATGCAAGAGGAAGAAACTTCCAACAAGAGCATCCAAATCCGACATATATGTTTCTCATAAGTGTCCCATGCTGTTTAATCAGGTTCAGGTAAAGGTAAAGGTAAAGGTACCCCTGCCCGTACGGGCCAGTCGTGACCGACTCTGGGGTTGCGCGCCCATCTCGCTTAAGAGGCCAGGGGCCAGCGCTGTCCGGAGACACTTCCGGATCACGTGGCCAGCGTGACGAAGCTGCTCTGGCGAGCCAGCACCAGCGCAGCACACGGAAACGCCGTTTACCTTCCCGCTATAAAGCGGTACCTATTTATCTACTTGCACTTAGAGGTGCTTTCGAACTGCTAGATGGGCAGGAGCTGGGACCGAAAGACAGGAGCCCACCCCGCCGCGGGGATTCGAACCGCCGACCATGCGATCAGCAAGTCCTAGGCACTGTGGTTTTACCCACAGCGCCACCCGCTGTGGCAGTTCATTCCCAGGTAAATGTGCACAGTGGCACATTGTGCAATCTTGTTGCAAAATGTTCGTTGCCTAATCTCCACAAAGTGGATATTTTCCCTAAATCTCTCCTGCTGAAAGGAACTAGACTTGTGTATTTATCCTTGGCTGAATCATTCACTTAAGCATGAAAACTGAACATACACAGAGGCACTGCTATTCCAATTGCTTTGTTTTTCAGATTCCAGAATGTAGAGTGTTTGAAGCTCAGGATTCCATGTCCTGGTTGTATATACAGTGGTACCTCAGGTTACATACGCTTCAGTTACAGACTCCGCTAACTTTGCTTCAGGATGAGAACAGAAATAGTGCTTCAGGTTAAGAACAGTTTCAGGTTAAGAACCGACCTCCAGAGCATCAGAGACATCACCTTGCCAACAAAGGTCCGTATAGTTAAAGCTATGGTTTTCCCAGTAGTGATGTATGGAAGTGAGAGCTGGACCATAAAGAAGGCTGATCGCCAAAGAATGGATGCTTTTGAATTATGGTGCTGGAGGAGACTCTTGAGAGTCCCATGGACTGCAAGAAGATCCAACCTATCCATTCTGAAGGAAATCAGCCCTGAGTGCTCACTGGAAGGATGGATCGTGAAGCTGAGACTCCAATACTTTGGCCACCTCATGAGAAGAGAAGACTCCCTGGAAAAGACCCTGATGTTGGGAAAGATGGAGGGAACAAGGAGAAGGGGACGACAGAGGACAAGATGGTTGGATAGTGTTCTCGAAGCTACCAGCTTGAGGTTGACCAAACTGCGGGAGGCAGTGGAAGACAGGAGTGCCTGGAGAGCTCTGGTTCATGGGGTCACAAAGAGTCGGACACGACTGAACAACAATACCACTGTATACTGTTTCGGAGCCGCAGCGGAACTGTCTCTCGTAGGTGTGTGTTCATGCCATTGAGGAAACAAAAGCGAAAGGGATCAGCTGAACTGCTTGGTTCTGTTCCAAAACATTTTGGTAGAGAATATAATTTCTACATTTTGCCAGTGCTTTTTTGGGGTGGGGGACACAGGGGTATGCATACCCCTAAACATTTTGTGAATCTTTGTACTTTTGTCCATTTACTGTATTTATTTTTCCTGATTTGAACTATAAAATGGTGATTTTCTTGAGTCAAAATGAGAATACCCCTAAACATTATTTTAGAAATAAAAAAAAAGCACTGCATTCTGCTCCACCAAAACCATGCAAATGGGTTAGGGGGCATAATTGATTCCACAGTCCACTCTGGAAATGGCGCTATCACTGGTAGCTTCCAAATTTATGAAGAAAGGCATCACAAGGTTGCACTTATGAGTGTTTGTTTCAGGGTAGCCTCGGATGCTCAAAGACATTCAGCAGGCTGAGGAAGGCATGATCCTGGCAATCATGCCAGAAGCCTCTGGGCATATAAGGTAAGGCCCATCTCCAAGGCTATTTTGAGAACAAACCTGGAACCTCCTAGAAACTCAGCTTTACCCTCTGCCGGAACATGGGACTATGGCCGTTGCAGAAAAATAATAATTGGGAGTCTCTCTCAGCCCCTCAGTCTGCTGCTGTTGTCCAAACAGCTTTGTTAATATTCCAGAACATACAATTTCCCCATTTTAGATTTATGAGCTGCGGCGGGTCTTGACAGCGTGACCGTTTTGCCATTTGTTTCCCTCAAAAGTTCCCCCTCCATTTCTCCAGCCGTGAGATCCTTCTGAGAACTCCTCCCTCCATCGCCCGTCCTTCGCTGGCTCTCGCTCAAGAGGCTAACAGGCAGTAATGGAATGCTGGGCAGCCATGAGAGGCGAGATTCCATCGCCCTGCATATTGCTGACCACGGATGCCAGCTCAGCACATCTTGATAACTCATAACCCCTTGCCATAGGTTTTTATAGAGTGCCTGGTCTATTGTAAATCACTAACTCTCTGTCATCGACCCAGCTCCATCCCTGATTCATAGCATCAGGAATTAAACTACTGTCACACTGTGTGGAGAGAAGATAACCATTTATGGCACCAGTATAATAAAAACAAAACAGGGGAAAAAACAAAACAAAAATAGACTGTCTTGGAAGCAATGAATTATGGACCAGCCTCAAAGGTCAAATTATTATCTTGAATTTCTTTATTTAAGCAACCCAAACAAATATTTCTTCACCCTCAAACCCCCATGATTTAAAGGTGAATGACAAGTTATACAGGCTTGCCTCTTACCACAAGTGTTTATTTTGGATGGCCCAATACTGAAGGCCACTTCATCTTTAAGACATTCTCACATTCTGAACTCTGGTTTGGCTGAGTGAAACCGATGGCTTTTCATTCTCTTGTTGTTTGTAGCACAATATCTCCCTTGAACATTGAGACTTCAGAATGAAAGTTGGTGTGCACATTCAGGACATCACAACATTTCCTATTTGAACATCAGCAACCTCTCCCCCTCCATAGTCCTGTCTCTTTTTCTACTCCTTCAGATGTGGTGGCCATTTTGTGTTATGCCACACCCTCATAGCAGCCTGTTTGTGGCTGGCGCCCACAGCACTTTTTGAAAATTCCAAATGCCCATTGGCCCAAAAAGGTCAGTGACCCCTGGTTTAAGCAAAGCAAAATCCCCACAAGCCCAGGATGTCATGAGCAACTGCTGCTTGTTTCAAACCACATTCAAAAGTTTCAAGTTTCCACCTTATGGGCGTGAAAAATCGGGGAAGTGTTTGTTCATACTGCAGCCAACCATGGTTTCTTGTTGCCCGTGAATCAGGCTAGTGCCTTTCTTCCTATATACATAAAAGTGTAAGACTGTCGTCATGCTGCAGCTCATGTGGCTGCTGATAGGTGGCTATGCCAGCTCCAGTTAAATGCAGCTGCAGCAAGGTTTAACAGAGGGGAGAGGCACTTCACAGAGCAATTTAGCAAGCTGCTCTGAGGAGCACCTCCCTGCTCCCTTAAAATGGGGGATTTGGGGTGAGCTATGAGGGGATAAGTGAAGGGGTTGGTGAGTAGTGAAAGAAGGGGATTTGTTCAGGTGCGGGGAAGGGCACTTGGCAAGCAGGTTGAGGTAGGGGAGTCCATTAGAACCACAGCAGACGTTTGGTGCCACAAAATGAAATTCTGTTTGTGACAGGGATCAGACATTTTAAAAACATGTTCTCTGGGCCGGAGGCATGCAGTAGCTTTTAGGTGTCCAAAATGAGACTTCACGCCCTGTGATACACAAACATGCACCATGTTCTCTTGCCTCCTGTCAAACAGGCTTTTCAGGAGAATTGCAAACACCCATAAAGCCAAGAAACGATTGCCAATACTGGAATGAGCATACATACCACAGTCAATTGTATCACCTGCAAGTTACTCTGGAGAAAAAACAACCCCTCTTCTGCTTTCAGTATCAGTTCTGTGATAGACCACTCATCACGTGGGTTTTCTCCGTATCTTGAAAAGAAGCGAGCTCATTTTAATCAATAACAAAGGCTAGACATTTTGTTGTTGAAAGCTACAGAACACAAAAACATGGGAGTTTTAATTAAAGGCTCTGCATGTCTTTAATTAATACTGTTTGCCAACAAGAATGTCTTATTGAGTGTAAATGGTGGATTTGTTGATGCTATAACTCAAGCCAAACCTTCCCCACAAAGAAGTCATGTTAGCAACTGTAATTTAACAGGGAACATGGAGTGCCATAACTAGACAGTTCTGGTTCAAATAATATGCCCCCACTCCACCCCTGGGAACCCCTAAGGGTGAATTAAGAAAGGCTGTTGATGTGAAAGGTTACTGCTGCTGAAATGACAAGTTCTCACTGTTCAGGAAGGCTACTGTTGTTGCTTGAAGGTGTGGTGCAAAAGTGTTGCTGCTCTCCAACGCTGCACACCAAATCTCTCCCCCCCCCCCCGTTTCCCCATCTCCCACCAGCAGTGTGCAGGGGTTCAGTGTGCAAAACCGCAGCAGCATGAGTGTGCCTGACCTGAGACCCTTTCTTCGACTCTGAGCAAGCCGGTATCTGATTATTCATCCAACATTTCAAACATGTGCCTAATTTCCCCCTGAAACAAACCATGGGCTCAGGTTTCAATAGGAAACTAAGCCACGCTATGGCTTAGCTCCTAGCAGCACGACAGCAGCAAGAGCAAAGGAGCAGAGGCGGTTTGAGGGTAATTCAACCGGTGCAGCTGCAATAATGCTGTAGAAAGTCTACTACTGCGGAAGAGGAGCAAAGCACCTGCAATTTTGACCTGTGCATCGGCACGCTGCAAATTCACCTTCAGACCATAGTTAAGCTTAACTATGGTTTAAGGTGGCATGTGAATCAGGCCAGTTAATGGGCCTGGTTTTTCAGCATGGGCAGGACTTACTTCAGAATATTTCTTTTTTTAATAAGTGGCATTGTGTCTTATTTGTTTGTTTGTTTATTTGTTTGTGTGTGTGTGTGTGTGTGTGTCCCTCCAAAGTATCTAGCACAAGAAGTTTTGTATAGTTCGCTTCCAGATTGGTTAAGCCAAAAACGTTTTGCTGCTTGTTTACTTCTCTCCTCTTAACACACACACTCTCCAGTCTTCGTAATTTTGAATATCCAGCATTTCCACATATACACTCCCAATGCTTCCTGATGTGATGTTCCAGGAGGCTGCTGCTTGAAATTAATTGCAACTAATTAAACAGGATACAGTTAGAAGGACAATTGGACAATGGTGCCCTGGAGATTGCTTCATTCCCAAAGGCATTAGCAGCTGGCACTTGCACTGGTTCAAGCCCACAGGAAGGTGCTATATATCATAATGTCATTTTACATTGTTATTTTTCTGAAAGCAGCAATTTCAAAGTCTCCAGTGAACCTTGAGCAACTTCACGCTAAAAAGAAAAATGTTACTGTTCAAGATCTGTATATATATATATATATATATATATATTAAAGATCCAAAGGAATTGCCTGGCAAGACTGGTAGCATTAAATTTCTCCCATTATTTGCATGTAATATGTAATGTTGTAGTAAAAGGCTAACAAAGCATTTAGGCTGCAACCGGGATCATTGATTTTTTTATTTTTATTTTTAGGTGTCTTTGTTCAAATGTGGTCTAGCACTCTCAAGAAAACCATACCGTGCAGCAAATTGCCTGTGGCACCTATTTACAGTAAATCAGTAGTGTCATCTTGGTTTCTATTTGGGGGGTGGGGGGCTTTCAGTTGGCTAAAGCAAATGAATACTCACAATGCAGAGGAAGGGCTTTTTCATTCTTCTTCTTTTTTTTTTAGTAACACACTGGAGATGTGGCATAAGGCTCAATTTCATGCTGGGATGAAGGCCAGGCATTTCAGGAATCATGAAAACGAGCCCTGTAACCAATGCAAGCATGGAGCTAAAGAGCTTCTTTGATATGCTGCCTTGCTGCTAGAAGGAGAAGCATTGAGAGTACTAAAATTAGCTTTTGACCTACGTCCCAGAGCAACCAATCTCCATGGCCACGCAACCCTTACTTAGCAAACTTTGCTCTAAAATTCCATACAATAGCCTATCTTGTGACTAGAATAGTTTGGAAGGATGGCCTGAAAATGCTCCTTGACAGGCTACTTTTAGATGACAGGAAGGCTTTGAAAGAGGAACTGACTCTAGGATTCGTGGCTGAACTTGGTACCGTGATAGCAGAGTTTTCCCATGGAAAATGGCTTCCCTAGTAATGTCAGGATCAGGACCCTCAAGGTCAGGAGTAAGCAAGCTGACAGCCATGTGGGAGGCTGGATTCATATGGTGTCATTGAAAACAGTCAATGGTTCGGTTGTCAGAGTGACAATCAGGGCATACCCCCCAACATTTCTCCAGTGAAAATAGGGGTGTCCTCTTCCATCATACGGGGCGTGGGTGACACTGTGGGTTAAACCACAGTGTCTAGGACTTGCCGATCGCATGGTTGGCGGTTCGAATCCCCGCAACGGGGTGAGCTCCCGCTGCTCGGTCCCTGCACCTGCCAACCTAGCAGTTCGAAAGCACGTCAAAGTGCAAGTAGATCAATAGGTACTGCTTCAGCGGGAAGGTAAACGGCGTTTCCGTGCGCTGCTCTGGGCCAGAAGTGGCGTAGTCATGCTGGCCACATGACCCGGAAGCTGTACGCCGGCTCCCTCGGCCAATAAAGCGAGATGAGCGCCGCAACCCGAGTCGGTCACGACTGGACCTAATGGTCAGGGGTCCCTTTACCTTTACCTTATTCCATCATAAAATTAGTAATAATAATTTCATTATTTATCCCCCCCCGGTCTGACTGTGTTGCCCCAGCTGCTCTGGGTAGCTTACAACACATATATATAAATATAATAAAACATTGAACAACTTCCCTATACAGGGCTGCCTTCAGATGTCTTCTAAAGGTTGTATTTACCTCGTTGGCTTGGAGGTCTTATAATGCCATACCCTCCAACATTTCTCTGATGAAAACAGGGACTTCCTAAGGAAAAGTGGGACATTCTGGGATCAAATCAGAAACTGATATGGCTTCTGTAAATCCAGGACTGTCCCTGGAAAACAGGGACACTTGGAGGGTCTGTTAGGGTGACAATTGGCCAGAGGCAAGAACCGTAGTCCAGGCAAGCAGCCATTCAGGTTTCAAAGTGTCAGCTACTGTGGTGGCAAGTAAGAGCTCAGCCCAGCAAATAAATCAGCCTGGTTCCTTAGCCTGAGGAGGTGGCCCCAGTGCTCAGTCTATTGATGGGTCTTGCAATGCTGCCTAAAAGGCACCAATCGACCTGCAAGTTCTTCCATCAGTATGGAGGTATAGGAGGACTGGCACTGGAGCCTGGCCTTCAGAAGTCCCACATTGGCACATCAGGAGGTCATTGTGTCAGTTCCAGAGCATGAACAAGTAAGGAGCTTGTGCTGGTGAAGATTAGCGTGTGCTCCACAGCACTCTGTAGGAGGAGGAATCGGCATGAATTCAGAAAATGGCATTCTCTCGCCAGCAGAAGTTAGGCCGTTGAAGATGTATTGAGGACACCTCCTGCATTTTGGCAGCTGCGGCAAACCCCAAAATGGTTTTCCCCCTCCCCACCAGGGAAGAAGGGGTAAGGAACAAGGGGAGAAGAAAGGGAGACATCAGGATCTGCTGCCTCTGGGGACCCTGCCGCCTGAGGCAGTCACCTCACCATGCCTCATGTATGGTCCAGCCCTGATTGAGGAGCATATGAAGCTGTCATAAGCAGAGTCAGTTCATGGACCCATTTAGTTCTGTTCTGTTCTGTACATTGTGTCTAGGGTCTTTCTTAGCCCTGCCTAGAGATGCTGGATCTCGAATCTGGGACTTGCGCTTATGGCCTGTGCTGCCAACTTCTGCTTCTTCTATTTCTCTGTCTCTCTCTCTCTCTCTGAAAAAGCCCTTCCCCCTCATGCTACCTTTTGCATGGTGGCTTCTTGCACATGAAACAGAGCCGTCGTTGAAATGACATCACCATGTTAAGTCCTCCCCTCTCTCATGTCAGGCATAAGGTTGTTCAACATCAGCACCTTGTGTGTTTTCCTGCCCATAAATGGCTGCTTTGGAGCAAGGATGGATGGGAGAAATGGATGGTGTGATGGAACCACAGAGCTCATTAAGTGACACTCTGTGTCAGGGTGTGAGGAAGAGAATTTGGCATGAGGTTGCCATATCTGGCAATGGCTTCATATCTTGTCTAATCTGTACTTCACGTGTTTTACAGAGATTCCGATGTGGCTAAGGATTTTTTCATACATTGCACCAAGAAACACATCTGCATTCCTTATTGATTTTTGTGTCACATGTGATGCTGTGAGAACCTGGAAGAAAAATCAGATGTGCATCCCAGCCAACGTTGGTCTTTGCATTTGCTTTAGGAACTTATTTAAAACAAAGCCAATTTAAGCCCCATGTGTGGAAATGACCTAAGTCAGAGGGAATAGTATGCAGGCTGTCATTCCCCATTGCAGCAATTACAGGATTAAAGCAATCAGGAATAATTGATAAAGCTTAGGAAATGACCTTGGTTAGCCTATTGATGCACTCACAAAGAATGCCAAATCACAAAGAATGTCAAAGCGCATCATGATTAAGGTTGCCAGTTAGCAACACAGAGAATCTGAGTGTCTCTTCAGCAACTTTGAGGCCGCCAAAGGCAAAACACAAATAATGGCATTTATTATTATTATTATTTTGTTTATTGCCTCTGTTATCCCACTCTTTAGCATGCAATCGGCATGGGTTTAGCACAGATTGCAGGGATCAGGTACACTTATTCTGTGCACCTGACATTCACAAATCCCACCCTATACAATCACAACCTTAGTCAGGTCTGGGAGGAAGACGGTTCAATACTTGGGAAGCAGACAGACACTAAGAATGTTCTCCTCGTGTGAGTTCATAGAACAGAATATGCTCTTACGCTGCATTCATTGATTTTCTTTTTCAGTCCCTTGTAATAAGCCTGCTGCTTTTTTGCCTTTATTATGTCAGCCAGGTGAGTACTTTTTCAGGGGATTTGAAAGGTCTCCTTCCACAGCTTTTAACACATTTTGGCCAACTTTGAAAACCAGCAGTTCAATTAGTAAAATTACTTGTGGCTGCATGTTGAGAACTGGTATCTTTGAATGCTCCCCCAACAAAACCATACCCTCCAACACTTCTCCCATGAAAATAGGGACATCCTATTCCATCATATAATCATAACCAGAATAATTTTATTATTTATACCCCACCCCTCTGACTGGGTTGCCCCAGTCACTTTCGGCGACTTCCAACATATATAAAAATGTAGTAAAACATGAAACATCTAAAAACTTCCCTATGCCTTCGGATGTCTTCTAAAGGTTGTATAGTTACTTACCTCCTTGACTTGAGGGGGGGGGTCACATAACTCCATATCCTCCAACATTTCTTTGATGAAAATAGGGACATCCTAAGGAAAAGCCGGGAAGGTTTCTGTAAATCTGGGGCTGTCCCTGGAAACTAGGGACACTTGGGGAGTCCGCAAAACAAATAACAGTCCCAGGGCATAGAACGGTAGCACACCAAGGAGAACTATTTGCTCTGGCTATTTTTTCATGTGTAGGGCATCTTGATTTGTGGAGGAATCACTAAACGTGCAATTCTGATTCTCTCCCCTCCCCCACAGCCTGAAGTAGTACCATTCATAGATAATTGTAACATGGTTATGTTGATTGCATAAAGCATGTTCTAATTTAAACAAACCGAGCCCTGTAACACATTTCTCCCTCTCTCTCTCACTTTCCTTCCCTCCTTCACCGCATCCAATAAATTCACGCCGGTGTTCTGCCAATTCTCCGCTCATTTGTTTCCTAACCCTGGGTTCTGTTTCTCCCCCTCCATCATCAAACAACTTTCAGGGAGAATGACAGGAGCACACAATATTACGTCTTAATATTCACATAATAATCTAAATAAAATGTGCTGAGTCTCCAGGTACTGTACTTTGCCCACGTTAATGGCATACTTCATTTTATGTACATGAAACAAATTTACAGTAAATGAAAAAGCTTTTATGTGGCACCAATTAAGAGAGAGTGCACTCGTTGGAGCCTTAGCATTTACTTCAAGTGAAAGATACCTTCCGCATAAAAATATAGCCAGAAGCCCTTTTTCGACAACTAACGGCTTGAGATGACACTTTCGGTGGAGCAAAAGTGTATGGCAGAGCCCTTTCTACCAGGAGCAGGAGCTCCTGGGGTCAAGCCTGGTGTGCCTTGTAGGATTAAATTAAAATGCACCAGAAAAGGCTTGATGGGGAAAGACCCCGTGGTTTTTGTGTGTGCAGAGTACTGGCACTTCCTCTTTTTTGCTGCCCATGACAGCCATCTTGTGCTGGCACCCATGGCACCTTTATCAAGACACCTCCTATTTTTACCAAAAAAGAGAAAGAACCCCACTAGAAAGTCCTTTCTTTCTTTTCTTATACCCCCCAAAAGTTTTGAAAACTAACAACGCTTTGAAAATTAGAGTTGCCACTCGGACAAAATGTTATTGCTCTAACCAATTTCCTACTGAATTAGAGGAAGAAATTGGATTTTGGGGGTGGGGGGGCAGAATCCAGCATAGCCATTCTTGTTAAGAATGCATGTAAATGAGGTGTAATACTGAATTTATCTATTTAGTTATTTTTATTAGATTTATATTCCACCCTTCATCACCAGATCTCAGGGTGGTCGTTTACAAATATTAGAAATCTGGAGAGAAATCCAGGATTTTACTGTAACTGCAATTGGGCACCAGTGAATCCACCCCCATCCCGCCCACAGGGGCAGAGGAGGCCACAATCTTCCTAACTCAGGCATCATTTTGCATTAAATGGTTTGGGCCAGCATTACAGATACAGATACAGATACAGATACAGATACAGATACAGATACAGATACAGATACACAGATACAGATACAGATACAGAAACAGAAACAGAAACAGATACAGATACAGATAC